AAATAATGTTGCAGTACCATTTGACTTGCACGTGTGTCCGCCATAAATAAAAACCCTCCTTCCCGTTGGCATTGGATTTGAGCTTCCAGCCAAGTTAGGTTGGTGTCGTTATACAGGCTACATATTTTACTCTCCGGGGCTTCTCTGTATCCAAGCTGTATAGGACATTCAGCTGAAATAATATCATATCATAAACTGATAGAGCTAAATTTCAATTACCCTAACACTTAAACACGAGATCCAGGTTTAGTAGAAACATGAAATTATGTTACTTAATATAATTTGACTTACAGAACTTATACTCTAACATTGAAGCCGCAGCTAATATCATAATATTTGAAATTTTAACTTAAATATGTTACTTAATATATAGATTTATTGAACTTACGTACAAGAAACCAAAATTTAGTATATAAACTAAGGAAGCTTAATATATAAATTATGGAACTTACGCTGGAGAAGCCAATATTCAGTACGTAAACTTAAGTAACAACACGTAAATTTATGGAACTTACGTTCTAGAAGCAATTATTCAGTATACAAACTGGTTTATTTAATAATTATGTAAATTATGGAACTTACATTCTAGAAGCCAATAATATATAATATTTGAGTTGTTGGTTCCATTCAATCCAGCATAGACTCTATCATTATATAAATAACACGTCATGGAACTTGTATCTATTCCTACTGATTTACAAGTACCATGATTTCTACAATATTCCAGACATTCGTAAGCTGAACTTATTTTGAGAAATTTACTAATATAATTATTTATTAGTTTAGTTTTATACTGTATTTTCATATATATAGAATCCACGCACGTGCCGTTATTCTGAAGGTATACCATCTGTAGCAGCAGCCCCATTTTAAACAGACACGACCTTGTAAATAGTTTATACATTGCTTCACTATACCTTAATGGATCCACAAATTTCAGTATGGGAACTCTATTTCCAATTTTTTTTTATAATGACGGTTGTATTATATGTACCTTCGAGACTTATTGCTGTATTTGCGCACTATCATATCAATATTACCACTGTTTAGTCAACATAAGTTCACAATCCAACGGCATCAAAAACACACCTTTTATTATATAAAATACATATCGAATATATTCTTTTATGTTCCGAATGTCCCGTGAGATCCATACATTAAAGCAGACTTTTATAAACAGATCGTTGGCGCAGAGCATTGTGATGGTTCGATATTGTAAACCAATTGGAATCCTTGATTGTTATGTATGCTGGTGCAGATATTTACATCCCAAAAACAAATTCTGACAGAAGAAAAAAGATCAATAGCAAAACCTTGTTTTAATAACTGACGCAAACTGTCTTTTTTTGTTAAATGTTTTCATTATCAAAAACATCGTAAATTAAACCTGGAAATATTTTTAGGTATTCTATTTATATCTATGTATCTTCTTGATCAAAATGAATTTGTTTTTCAAAGGGTTAATTAAAACCGGAGACTACTAATTGTTAGTTAAGCAGTTTGATCTAGTTTTGGTGCTTGGCTGTATAATGGCTCGATATTATTAGTTGAAACCTTTCGAATACGTAGGAGACATGTTTCTCTGTTACCTTTTGACCATATTCTTGTGACCAATTTACTAGATGACAATGTTACCTTGTGACCATTATACCAATTTACTAGATGACAATGTTACCTTGTGACCATATACCAATTTACTAGATGACAAATTCATCGCCTAACCTTGTTACTTTGACCAAGTTACTGTGACCAATTTACTATATGACAAATTCATCATATTGTGTCCCTATTCTTATGACCAAATTACTGTGACGAATTTACTGGATGACAAGTTCATCTTTTGACCTTGTACTTTTGATCAGTTTACTGTGACCAATTTACGAGATGACAAATTCATCTTGTAACCTTATTACTGTTACTATGACAAATTTACTGGATGGTAATGTCAATATGTGACCACCTTCTTGATAATACCGCTATGGCCAATTGAAAACTTCCGAGACCGAAGAACAAGGCCCCATTCTATTTGCGACTATACATATGCTTCCGTAGCAACTATTATGTATTAATATCTATATTACTCTACAGTTTCTGTACTGAGCATTATCTTAACAAATAAACAAATTAACAAAAAAACTTTTTATTGTGAATTTCGTCATATAGAGATATAAAACAATAGCGGTAACAAAACAGTCAAGAAATAACAAAACAATTAAATTGCACATAAAACACAAACAAAAGGTTTCAAATAAGGGACAGATGCCCATCTTGAGGGATTGAATTGAGTCTCGAATATATGTAAAGTCTTCAGTAGTAGGCCTACTAGAAATGTAAGTAAATCGCATTCTTCCTTCAAAAATATCTCAAAGTGGGACTTCTTTTCCTACTTCTATAGATATCTTTTCTGTCTTTTTAACTTTCAAACGCGGATGATTTTGGACACACGTGGATTTGAAGGTTCAAATTTGGAAAGTGACCTGTGAACACTATCTGGTTGGCTTGGCTAAAAAAAAAGGTTCGATTGTCAAGAAATTTGCACATCTGTTACTTTAAAGGGGCATTCCGCTTTTTGTAAAACATTTTCATGATCACAAACGTCGTAAATTATACCTGAAAATATTAAAGTATGCTATTTATATCTATGTATCTACTTGATCAAACTGAATTTGTTTTAAAAGGGTTAATTAAAAACAGAGAGTACTAATTGATAATTAAGCAGTTTGACCTAGTTTCGATTATTGACTGTATTATGGCTCGTTATATCTAGTTGAAATCTTTATAAAAGATAGGCGTTTATTTCACTCAAATCTGTACAGTAGTTTTCTAAAAGCTCACAAAAAGCATAACTAACTTAAAAATGTTACGTAACCTTTTACTTAAAGTTGTGGAGTTAAAACTTTCAGATACGTTATGGGATACATTTCTGTAGATTTTGGTTTATAGTTTTCACAAATTTGAGCAAAAAAATATTTTCGACTTACAGATAAAGAGGGATGACCCTTTAAGAACAAAATGTCCTGAATGTCCTCCATTTTGTTTCTTAAAATTACTTGTTCATTGTTTTCACATATTATGTAATTAAAAACAACAGTTCAAGTACATCGGACGGTGTGTATGACCAAATCACAATAAAGTCTCAAACACAAGTTTAATTATGGTTAACAATTAGCACAAGAGACAAGCAAACGCAAATAAGAGCACAAGCGCAAACAAGCACAAATAAAAGCGGACAAGCGGACTAAATAACTTGATGAAAATTCATATTTTAACCTTAGTACTGTGACCAATTTACTATTAAGCAATATAGGAGATGACAAATATTAGCAAATAAGTTTCAACAAGAGGAAACAACGACACAGGTGAAGCAAGAGGACATAACTCCAAGCAAGCGGTTTTTAATTTTGTTAATATTTAAACGACTGCATAATATAATGAAATATTATAAAGATCTTTTCTTTTTACAGGCTGTAATTTGAAATATTTAGAGGGAGTTGAATTTAAACCGAAGCTAATGCTAAAAATATTCTACAAATCAAATTGTTTCCCATTGACTGAATGGTAGACAAGACCATATCCTAAGTGTATAAGAACTAATTCGGACCCATGTCAAATACAGAGTTTATCATTATTGTGTTAAATGAGTTCTTAGCTTTTGAGTTTTACTTTGTGTCAATCAAACGACGATCACTCCGGCTTTCGAAGTAAGTGTAGCGTAACTATAACCATTGATTTGTGTCCCATGGCTGCGGTATATTTTTGAAACTTGTCTGTACAGTCACATCGATAAATAGTTGTGTCTAAACAGTCCCAGCTGAGGGAAGGTAAGTTTGAATAGTTGGAATTTGACAGATAAATCCACATTTGAAGATATCACATTGGTAATCGATCAGAGCGGTAGAGTAGAACAAGCAGTGTTCAGTATTGCCGTAGTTATTGGGGTCATCGGGTGCGAAATGTGATCTGTCAATCGGTACACCATTAAACCATTCCCACACATCTTCATCATACATATCTGTAGCACCCAGACTAGTGAATGCTCCTAAATCTGTAAGAAAAATCAATCAATCGAACAATTACTAGAATTCGTCATTCCATTCACCCCCACCATCTATCCCCTTCTACCGACGAATAGTATAACTTTGTCCTGCATGTTCTACTGTTCTCCGGATATATTACTTGCTCCCATCCGCTATGTCCTATTATTTATTATTTTAGCAGACGACTGTAGTGCAATTTGCATCGTTAATGCCCTGGGAACGGTGGGTGTAAAATTCCGAATTTCCGAACTGTCCGAATTGGGTCAGAAAAGACAAAAAAAATCGTAACTAAAATTGCGCCATAGGTCGTGCACAAATTCGGGAATCAAAACATTTAACATAAAAAAAAATGGAAACAAGGAAAAATGAAATAGTTGAAATTCTTAAACTTGATCCAGATATGAATCTATTTAATTTAAACTTAAATAAAAAAAGATATTTTATCAATAAATATGAAAAATGAATTTCTGAAGGAAGTGTTACTGGCATGGTCCGAAATAAATTATGATACAAATCTTATGGTTCAATTCAAACATTAAAATAAACAATAATATGATATTTTATAAATCATGGAATAAAAAGGGTATCAACCAAGTTTATGATTTACTAGATGAAAATGGCCAATATTTGAATTTCGAAAATTTTATAACTCAA